CAAGAAGGTTAATTACGCAACTTCGATACCCATGAGCAAAATAATTATTAGTAAGCTCATTACTATTATTATTATCATCATCAGAAAACGTACCCAGTAGAAAACATTACTAAAATTTCTTATTCCCTTAAAACAAAAAATACAACTAAATCTTTTAAACACAAAACACTTGACTATTCATTCATACAATATGCCTTGTAATGAAATATGTTAAAATTCGATGAAGCAAATATTTCTGTAAACTGTGTTGACAAATAACTAGCAAGTTAAGTTAAGACAAACTCCGCCTGGAGTCCCTCCGGGGGCTACTGCCGGTCCCAAGTCCGGATAAAAGAGGAGGGTTGGGCATGGGGTTAGCGTCCCCATCCCGTAGAAAACTAACTCGCTAAAAAACGCTAACCAGAAAAAAATATTCAAACCTTTTAAACTCTGCCCTGGGAGTCAGAAGATCTTCATTCAGAGGAATTATGACGCCTCATGATGAAAGCCGAATCCCTTCGGAAGTTACGAGGCCGATGCCCCTTCTGACAACCAGAGCGACCATTTATTTAGGTACATGGAATGTTCGTACAATGTGGGACACCGGAAGAGCCTTCCAAACTGCTGCGGAAATGAGAAGATACAACCTAGAGGTACTTGGGATCAGTGAAACACATTGGACACAAGTTGGACAACAACGACTAACTACAGGAGAGCTCCTGTTATACCCCGGCCATGAAGAAGAAAATGCACCGCATACACAAGGAGTTGCATTGATGCTGTCCAAACAAGCACAAAATGCACTTATAGGATGGGAATCTCATGGACCAAGGATCATCAAAGCCTCCTTCAGAACAAAGAAAGAGGGCATTTCAATGAACATCAACCAATGCTATGCGCCTACCAACGACTACAATGAAGACGCTAAAGATCAATTCTACAATAGGCTGCAGTCAATAGTCGAGAAGTACCCAACAAAGGACCTGACCATTGTGATGGAAGATTTCAACGCCAAGGTTGGAACGGACAACACTGGATATGAAGACATCATGGGACGACACGGACTGGGAGAAAGAAACGAAAATGGTGAGAGATTTGCAAATCTATGTGCCTTCAATAAGCTGGTCATAGGCGGCATAATATTCCCACATAAACGCATACACAAAACCAAATGGACTTCACCGGATCACTCTACACAAAACCAAATCGATCATATTTGCATCAACAAAACGTTCAGGAGGACTACAGAGGACGTGAGAACCAAGAGAGGAGCTGATATAGCATCAGATCATCACTTACTGGTCGCCAAGATGAAATCGAAACTCAAGAAGCACTGGACAACGGGGCAGACAGTATCACAAAAGTTCAATATGGCCTTTCTCCAGGATACTAACAAACTCAACAAATTCAAGATAGTCCTCAGCAACAAGTTCCAGGCCTTTCATGATCTACTCAATGGAGAAGGAACTACTGTGGAGAGCAACTGGAAGGGGATCAAAGAGGCAATCACTTCAACATGTCATGAGGTCCTGGGTCACAAAAAGCACCATCACAAGGAATGGATCACTGTTGATACACTGGATATGATTCAAGAAGGCAGCGATCAATACCAGCCGAACAAGAGCAGAAAAAGCCAAGGCACATGCTGAATAAACGGAAATAAACAAACAAGTGAAGAGGAGCATCAGAACCGACAAACGTAAATATGTGGAAGATTTAGCAACGACGGCGGAACAGGCTGCAAGAGAAGGAAACATGAGACAATTGTATGACACGACAAAGAAACTCTCTGGAAATCAACGTAAACCGGAGCCACCAGTGAAAAGCAAGGAAGGCGAGGTAATCACCAACATTGAAGAGCAACAAAACAGGTGGGTAGAACACTTCAAAGAACTGTTGAATCGACCAGCTCCACTGAACCCACCCAACATCGAAGCAGCACCCACGGACCTCCCAATCAATGTTGGCCCACCAACAATTGAAGAAATCAGCATGGCCATCAGACAAATCAAGAGTGGCAAAGCAGCAGGACCGGACAACATCCCAGCAGAGGCACTAAAAGCAGACGTAGCGCAACTGCAAGGATACTCCACATTCTCTTCAATAAGATTTGGGATGAGGAACAAGTACCGACAGACTGGAAAAAAGGACTTCTGATCAAAATACCGAAGAAAGGCGATCTCAGCAAGTGTGATAACTACAGGGGCATCACTCTTCTCTCAATAACGGGAAAAGTCTTCAACAGAGTATTGTTAAACAGGATGAAGGACTGCGTAGACGCCCAACTTCGTGACCAACAGGCAGGATTTCGTAAGGATAGATCGTGTACAGACCAAATCGCAACTCTACGGATCATTGTGGAACAATCAATTGAATGGAATTCATCACTCTACATCAACTTCATTGACTATGAGAAAGCATTTGATAGCGTGGACAGAACAACACTATGGAAACTTCTTCGACACTACGGCGTGCCTCAGAAGATGGTCAATATCATACAGAACTCATATGATGGATTACACTGCAAAATCGTGCATGGAGGACAGTTGACAAAGTCGTTCGAAGTGAAGATCAGTGTTAGGCAAGGTTGCTTACTCTCACCCTTTCTCTTTCTCCTGGTGATCGATTGGATCATGAAGACGTCAACATCTGAAGGAAAGCGCGGGATACAATGGACATCTAAGATGCAGTTGGATGATCTAGACTTCGCAGACGATCTGGCCCTTCTATCCCAAACGCAACAACAAATGCAGGAAAAGACGACCAGTGTAGCAACAGCCTCAGCAGCAGTAGGTCTCAATATACACAAAGGGAAAAGCAGGATTCTCCGATACAACACAGAATGCACCAATCCAATCACAATTGACGGAGAAGATTTGGAAGATGTAAAAACCTCTACGTATTTGGGCAGCATCATTGATGAACAGGGTGGATCTGATGCAGATGTGAAGGCGCGGATCGGCAAAGCAAGAGCAGCATATTCACAACTGAGGAACATCTGGAACTCAAAACAACTGTCAACCAACACCAAGGTCAGGATTTTCAACAAAAATGTCAAGACAGTTCTACTGTATAGGGCAGAAACCTGGAGAACTACGAAAGCCATCATCCAGAAGATACAAGTGTTTATTAACAGTTGTCTACGCAAAATACTTCAGATCCATTGGCCGGATACTATTAGCAACAACGTACTGTGGGAGAGAACAAACCAGATCGCAGAGGAGGAAGAAATTAGGAAGAAGCGCTGGAAGTGGATAGGACACATATTGAGGAAAGCACCCAACTGCGTCACAAGACAAGCCCTCACATGGAATCCTCAAGGTCAAAGGAAAAGAGGAAGACCAAAGAACACATTACGCCGAGAAATGGAAATAGACATGAGAAAAATGAACAAGAATTGGATGGAACTAGAAAAGAAGGCGGAGGACAGAGTGGGTTGGAGAATGCTGGTCAGCGGCCTATGCTCCATTGGGAGTAACAGGCGTAAGTAAGTAAGTAAGTAAGTTAAGACAACCATATTCTTCATTTCGAACCGGTAATCTATTTACCAATAAGTGTAGACGTCCGAAGTAGATCAGGTTACTACTTATTACTTGTCCATGTGACAGGAGTAATTAATTTCTAAGTAGCATGAAACCAACATGTTTTCTGTAACTGTGACTAGAATAATAAAGCCTCCTGAATAGCTAATGTTGGGACCTATAAATAACATATGACATCGTTCAAAACAATTTATAATAATCCAAAGGCATTGTCTCAGAATATACGTACACCATCAAAGACTCATCAAAATTTAGTCCTTTTTATCAACAATAGGATAATACAAACCGTTAGAAATGCCTTCTAATTCTCCTAACAAGTTAGTGGGTATATAGTCTAGGTAGAGTAATTTATGACACGCCGACCTAAAAAACGATAGAAACTTGGTTCTAGTTTCAATGTGAATATCAATACAATCATGGAAGTATACCTAGCTGATGCATCAAAAATAAGCTAAGACATGCAGCCTGTATATCATTATAGACTTAAAAACGGAACTGAAAAGATATTATCGAAGGAATTCATTCAGAATGCACATATGGTAATATAGACTGATCAGTTACGAACTTGAATACCATAACAAACAATTATTTACATATTTATGGCAAGCTTTTTTGTGATCATAAAGTTGTATAAGAATTTATTTTGTTCAATCTTCTTGAAGTTATGTACTAGTAAAAAACGGACTATTGAAAACTTTAAGCGCAAACTCTCCAAGTACTTACCAATATGAGGTTGTAGAGATTGTTATGTTTTTTTTATTGAGAACATGAATCGATCGATGTTAGACCATCATTAAAAACCTGGAAGCATCGGACGGCCGTTTCATCCTAATATGGGACATTAACACCGTTGGATGCCGGCTCAGTGGTCTAGAGGTTAGGCGTTCACGCACGAGACCGAAGGTCCTGGGTTTGATTCCCGCGTGCGCACTTCTGAGGAGTCCCAAAATAGAACGAAATGGCAGTCCACTGCTTCCAGGTTCTCAATGGTGGTCTAACATCTATCGATTTACGATCTCAATAAAAAAATCTCCAAATACTATTAAAAGCAGCCGAAAATAATCTAGTCCTGTCAATATTTATAACCTGGTTAACTCCATAATTTACGCCTTCTCAAAATCAGTTTCAAGAAATCCATTTTAAATTGCGTTAATATTGGGAAAATTTACGTCCAATCCATAAATTTTTACAATTAGAACTAAATATTGTTGAATAATCTCAGACTAGGTTAGAAACAATTGTTTATCGAACACAAATTCTTATTAATCTACAAAGTGATTTTTAATCGTTATTAAAATTTTCTTTGTAGAAATTACTTAATTTGTAATTTACGTCACAAATCAACTTTAGCTAGACAATCATTGAAAACTAAGATACTCTGGAAAGTTATTCTGTTCTAGTATAAGATACCTCAACACTATGCAAACAATAATAATAATATTTTTTTAAAAACATTGCAATAATCACTTGTTTACTTACCTTATGATCGTAAGAACAATAATGATTGGAATAAGATAAGGGGATTAATTCCACTTTATGTTTACGTGATTGACAGTATTTATTTATACAAGAAGTAATAAGACAGCAAGTTGATTGCTTTTTCACTTGAGAGCTAATTGTATCATTAAGTTTCTTCTGTTGAATATTAAAAGAATTCATGTTTGTTTTATTCTGTTTTTGTTGACATTGTAACGTTTGTATTCGATGCGCAGTCATAAATAGAATTATTATACTAGTTAATAAAGGTAGCAGAAATGCAACTAATGTACGTAATATTAAAAAATTAATATCAGGCGATGTACACAATCTGCCTTCTTCCAAATAAGCAGGTGGGAATGAATCACTTAGTAAAATTTGTGCACCGGTCTGTAATATACTCACTATCCATGGTGCAGCTATTTTCAAGCGTATAGCCAGTAAATATTTTCTACTTGATACATCTGTCGTATTAGAAAACCATTTTGGTTTAGTTAGTCGAAAATGGGTATCTAAACTTGATCCTAAAAGGTGTAATAAAATTGCATGGCAAACGATTGTCTCGGAAGCAATTGATATACAACAGAAATGTTGAATATATTCATTTTCACCTATAAAGGAAAGCAAAATATACATATGTATAAAATCACGATAATATTTATAAGCTTTATTCATACAAAATGAAGAGGAAAGTAGAGTTAATAGTAATTTAATCGACAGCGTTTGATCAACACAAAGGAATAAACAAACATTGGACCGACTAATCCTCAGCATACAATCAATGTAAGTATTAGATTACTTTAAGATATCTCTTAAGACCTGACTAGCTCAATGAAAACATCTCTTACTGTGACTTTAGATGATCAAGGTCCACATACCACAGGGAATATTACTTCACTACAAATTGCAGATAAATCTTACTAGTGAATTCGAACTAATATGAAACCTAGTTCTAGGACTTGGTACAGATCTACTTCAAACACTCTTTGTAGTTTTAATAGTAAAAGAAGAGCTCCGTAGTAATTTTCAACTGGATTATTTATGGAGACCAGTTTAATTTGAAGATAGCTATCATTGAGTAATAATATCAGTTGGTGAACTGCTAAGAATCGAGACAGTCTGAAAACTTTTATTTTAGGTGCACTTTGAAAATTGTTAGCTTGTAACTTCTAAATAATCTTCCAAGTAAAACTTTCTGCCATTCAATATTACATGAATATACACTTGCTCGAATAAAAGCTTAGTCCAATCCAAAACTTGCTTTCTTTAAACAAAGATAATTTCAAATATTGATTTCACTCTTGATTCATGTTGTTAGCTGTTAACCTAGTTTAGTGAGATAACCTTAATCACTAATATGATTTAAGTTACCTGCATACATGGAAGTTTTCTTAACTTCTGTTTCAAGTGAGCTACTAAACAGTAGGCTAAATATTGTTGAAAGACGTAAGGAAGAACATGTAATGAAACACTTCATTGTGAAGTAGCTTTAGGATAGTTTAACGAACCATCTTAAGCCCACAGTTTAAATTAGGGGTTGACATAGAATACTCAGAAGCTAAGAAAGCTGGAATCGGCCACTAATACGAGCATACAAATTGATAGATAACTCCATTCAAATAGCCTGAACAAAATATCACACTAAACTGTACCAGTAGAAAATTTTTATCATCAAAAGACATCAAACAACTGCCCAATCTTACCTACATATTTTACACAACACCTCATAGCTGAAACAAGTATATGACAAATTATGATTATCTGAAAAATGTTGAAACAGACCTAATCATCTATTTACTTTGTATTCGATGTTAAAGAGGATGGGTATGGAACAGTATTCTACCGCATGTGTCCTTAAGGTATTTCTTTTACTTGTTATAATTATCAGACAGGCAATCTTGACTTTCAATACAGAGTACAAAGTAAAGGTGGAAAATCTCTGAATGATTTTGTGAACATGCATCATATATGATTATCTCAGTGTCCTATACTGAATGGTTCGAAGATGAAATGAACAATGAAAATGTGGACACATTAGGTATCATGATACTGATTCCTCAAAAATCAACTATTGAATTGAATTATATAGCACGACTTGAGTAAGCGTAATTTTGAATGTCTTATCATTAACATATTTATTTGGTTTGTTCTAGATATTGAATTAAATTTTTTTGTCATCAGTTGCATATTTTGATAAAATTTTAATTTTCAATTATATAAATAAAACAACCAGAAATTTTTGACACGGATACACATTTTTTTAGTTTCGACTAATCCATTTAATTTATCTACTATTTATATTCTTTCAGTTAATATGTAGACTTGTAGCAGCTTAGAACTGTAATGAATGGTAACAAATTTACTGAATTCACAAGACATTTTTACACTGAGTGTCAGTACTAAAGTTCTGACTGAGACAAAAAATACCAAATACCTGCCAATGGAAATGTCAAAACTCTATTTATTACTCTACCAAGTTACATTCACTATGTTTTACTTGTAAAAAGGTTTTGAACCATCTTATATATAATGCAATAAATATCTAGTCACCTATCATTATTATCTCGAATCCCGATGAAAACTGATCAACAGATCACGAAAACTTACTGTTTTACATCGTATTGAAAATAAATTAAAAAATCTGTGTTTTAAAAAAAAAAGAAATGCGAATCAACTGTTTAGTTAAATAAAGATTGCTTGGTCTTTTTTTGTTGCTAAAGTTAGGTATGTTTTTATTTCTTTCAGATGGTTTAACTGTCAATTACGTTAGCTTTTAAAAATAATTACTTCTATAAATATCTTCGTAATATGTAGAATATTATCATTATACCATGTCATTAGATTACATTATGTTTCCAAAATAAAAGTGATGTAAAAAGTAAACCATCATCCTTTGAATAACTTATTACATAATGTGAATCTATCAAATAAATAAATATATAAACGAAACAAAAAAATAAGTAACATCAGAGTTGATATTTAATTCTGTTAAGAAATCATTGTGTTTTGAACAAATGTTATGAAAGCATCAACATGATTTGCTATTTGAATGTTACCCCATCAATGATATTGATGATAAATTTAATTTATATACATGCTGGTTTTATTTCATTCATAAGAATAAGTATTGACTTATTCTATTATGTTAAACATAATCACACATTTGTTCAGACATTAGTTATCGCTTGAAATGTCGTAGAAAGTTATCAAAAACATTTTTCTTTAAGATTGAATGCAAAGACATGTATACGTATAGGTATAGTGTGAACAGACATTACTATAGTGAAATAAAATGAATTTTACAGTGGGAAAAACGTTTAGATAAATAATTGATTCACCTAAAATAATATATATGTATGGTAAAATTAGAATTTATTTTATAAGATTAAAAGTTTGTTTTAATGTAAATTATTAAAGAATATAATGTAAAAATGAAGCGAACGGTACTGAGTTCGAGTCCCAGAGTGAACATCAAGTGTGAGATGCAGGTACATCCAGCTGACGAGTCCCAAATAAGACGAAACGTGCGTCCTGGATTCCACTGCTAGCCACTATCCATCTTTGCTTATAAAAATAAGTTAGTTGGTTTATCAAAGTACTTAATAAATAATCGATAAAATTAGTGTTTTTTTTCAGTTTAAGTGAACAAAAGTTTTTGTAATCCGTTAAAAACTTCAACAAACAAACCGTTTTCATTTAATTTTCAAAATATTATGCTTCAAAAATAACATCCTACACTTGATTTTACACTTCATAAGGATTGATGAATATGGTACAACTACCATGTACAGACTTGAATGTACATTAAAAATACCGATTATTACTATTGAAAATCACTATATGAATAACTCAAATTATTTCATTTTAGATTACACTCTATACACTACTAATTCTTCTAATATAAGTAACATATTTGAAGTCATTTAAAAAATTGATACCTGTAAAATAATTATTTATGTTTAGTTCTAATTCATGCAGCAAACAAATATGTCTTAATTGTTTTCCAATGATTCTCCAACAAGAGTATGGATGGTATGTGTTCACTATGATTGGAATAATAAACGCCTCGTAGGTAACTGTAGAAAAGGTAAAATCTCAGAAAACGGTCTGGTAAAAGAAATAAGAAGAAACAATTCCAATGCTTTCAGAAATAATACTCCTTTTGGTTGTAGTTTTCACCGTGAATCACTACAGTTACAAACAATATGGGATTAAGCCCGAATTTTCCAGATTTCTCATCAACCAAGACTTTATTTAGCCAGCGAATTATCATCCAGTGGTCTGAGTTTTTAAATTCAATCAGAATGTAATACACTGAGATTTTTACGCAATACTATTAGTGTATTATTGCCTTGTCACATATTTAGTCGACTCTATTAAAATTTCAGGAAGTTAATCTATCACATGATTGCCAGTAGATATGACTATTATGTATTACAGTGGCTGCCTATTTCATTTCAAAATAATTTTCATAAAAGACCAAAACCAAATGATTAATCCACTGTGATAACTATATTAAAATTCTACACAGTCTACATACAGAAACTCAATTATAACTTCACAGTTAGCATGACACACTGGTCTTAATTTTACGGCTATTGAAGTACAGAAACCACCGCAAAACTGTATTGACTTGGTGTGGAGATTCTCAGTGATACTCCATTATGACCCCATCAGAGATCAAACAGAAAACCTTCACATCTCGTGTTGAGCGCTTAACCATCCGACCAATAATTTGGTATCCAACGATTTATGCGTAGACGTTCAGTCAATTCGCGATACTACTCAACCATATTTTAATACCGTTGATTGGTGGCTGCCTCACATACGACATGCTTGAACTTCACTCATCAATGATATTGAAAGATAGTTGCGCAATATCGTGAGCTCATAAAAAATGAAAATACAAACCACTGGATCTCAACTCTGTCGTCTAAAGGATAAAATTTCTACTTGGTTCAAACACAAATGAAGTGTGGGATGCTCACTTCTACGGAACCCTATACAAGGTTGAAACAGCTCTCTAGTGCTTCCTAATTTTTAGTGGCTCTCTAACTAAGGTTAGTTGATGATTTAAACTGTAAAAGTTGACAGTCAACAATCCCTCACACTATTAATATTAACGTTTTAGAGTTCAGAGAAAACTATCAAAATTCATATGTATATTGTAATTTATAATGTATTGTTTTCTGTCAGCTAAGATTGTTATCTAAAGCAAGTTATCAAAAACTAGAAACATACTTTGAATTCTTTGAATTATAATCGCCACTAAAGAACTTGATAGATAATTGGTTGTTCATAGTCCCATTTTGTCTCATAGTACTTATCCACATATTATTTTAAAGAGAAGCATGAATTATTATCTCTGTATCACTTAATTGTTAGGTTAAATCTTAAATTTTTACACACACTTCAACTAACTTCTGTTGAATGAATTCGATTATATATTTCAACAGAAACTATCTACTCGCTTGGTATAGATACCAAGTTTGTAATTTCTAGCTTGTTAATAAGATTTCATATTGATATCAAGTCTCAGAGCTTTCCAAACTAAAATTCATTAATGAATGACATTTAATAGCTAACAAATACATCTACAGTAGTATATTAG